TATATATATATATATATATATATATATATATATATATATATATATATATATATATATACATATATATTTTATTTTTTTTATTTTTTTTATTTTATTTTCAGGTTTAGTGAATTCATATCTATCAAGAACCCACCACGAGGAGTTAGATGCTCTACAGAAGCTGGGGGGTACAGCAGCAATAGCGAGGGCGTTGCATACAGACCTTCGTTTGGGTCTAGACCTGGGTGGGGGCCCCCCTGAGGGGGCCCCCCAGTCCCCAGCAGCAGCAGTAGCAGCAGCAAGCCCTGGTGCTGCTGCTGCTGCTGCTGCAGCTGCAGCAGGCAGACAAAGACCCAGCTTTGCAGGGGACGGGGGGGCCCCCATGGGGGGCCCCCAACACCCTGATATGAGTGAAACACAAGCAGCACTGTTGGCTGCGAGAATAGAAGCCTTTGGGGAGAATAAGCTCCCGCAGAGACCCCCAACGCGTATAAACCCTAAACCCTAAACCCTAAACCCTAATTATAAACCCTAAACCCTAATTATAAACCCTAAACCCTTAATATAAACCCTTATCTTATATACAAACCCTCATCAGAAACAAACCCTAACCATAGACCCTAATAATAAACCCTTATTGTGAACAAACCCTAATCGTAAACCCTAATTATATACAAACCCTAATCATAAACCCTAATTATAAACCCTAATTATAAACCCTAATTATACACCTCAACCCCTCCTTGCTGCTGCCTAGACGATAGAAAAGTTATACTGCAGCATAGCGATAGCTTGACCCCTCCTTTTGCTGCTCTTGTTTCTGCTGCTGCTGCTGCTGCTGCTGCTGCTGCTACTGCTGCTGCTGCTGCTGCTGTTGCTGTTGCTGCTGCTGCTGCTGCTGCTGCAGCTTTCTGGCGTCACTGCTGGGACGCGGCATCTGACTTTACTTTGCGTATTTTAATGGTTGCTGGTTTGGTGATGATTGTTTTGGGGGTTACAGTGAGTTGGCTGTTTCAGCTGTACATACACCCCACATCACTGCGCTGCATGCATGCAAATATTAATATTAATATAAATATAAGTATTTATATAAATATAAACATAAATATTTATATAAATACAAATATAAATATTAATATAAGTATAAATATAAATATATGTGTAGATATGTATTTCTTCCTTTTGTTTATGCTGATAAAGAGATAAAATAAATATATTTAAATAAACAATAAACAGTTAGTCGCGGTGAAGGAGACAGTCTCCTTTTCTCTGTCTCTCTGTCTCCTCTTTGTCTTTGTCTTTGTTTTTTTGTCTCTGTGTTTTTGTCTCTGTCTCTTTATTTCTTTCTCTTTTTTTTTTCTCTCTGTCTTTATGCTTTCTGTCTCTTCTTTATTGTCTCCTTTCTGTCTCCTTTATCTTAAATTATATATTTGTCTGTTTTCTTTTTTATTTATTCTTTCTGTGTATATCACCACAACCACAACCAGCAACAACAACTACCACTACTACCTCTGCTGCTGCTGCTGCTGCTGCAGCAGCAGCAGCAGCAGCCGTTCTTCTCTCAGCATATATAGATACAAATCAAAACAAAAAAAAAAAAAAACTTTTATGTGTTGCTGATGCAGGTAGGAGAAAACCCTAAAGTAGAATGGGTTGAGGGTTTAGCTATTTGGGTTGCCGTCGTTGTTGTGGTTTCTGTTACCGCTCTAAATGACTGGGGAAAAGAAAAACAATTCCGCAAACTCGCAAAAATCAGAGGTTTATAAACCCTAAACCCTAAACCCTAAACCCTAAACCCTAAACCCTAAACCCTTGAAGCACTGGGGAAAAGAAAAACAATTCCGCAAACTCGCTAAAATTAGAGGTTTATAAACCCTAAACCCTAAACCCTAAACCCTTGCAAAACCCTAAACCCTAGATAATTCCGAAAACTCGCAAAATTTAGAGGTTTCTAAACCCTAAACCCTAAACCCTAAACCCTAAACCCTAAACCCTTGAAGCACTGGGGGAAAAGAAAAACAATTCCGCAAACTCGCAAAAATTAGGGGTTTATAAACCCTAAACCCTAAACCCTAAACCCTTGAAAAACCCTAAACCCTAAACAATTCCGCAAACTCGCTAAAATTAGAGGTTTATAAACCCTAAACCCTAAACCCTAAACCCTAAACCCTTGACGCACTGGGGAAAAGAAAAACAATTCCGCAAACTCGCAAAAATCAATATATAAACATATTAATCAATTAATTAATTAATTAATATATAAACATATTAATTAATTTATAAATATATTAGTTAATTAATTACTTTATTTATTTAATTAAACAAACAAATAAATAAATAAATAAATAAATAAATAAATAAATAATAAACATTTATTTATTTATTTATTTATTTATTTATTTATTTATTTATTTATTTATCTAAGATACAAAGACAATTTGTTTATATATTTATATATTTATTTATTTTTATTACAGAGACAAAGACATGCTGTGGTGTACGTGTGGGGTGTGAGTTGACGTTGTCTTTGTCTTCTTTATTAGTTGGCGGTATTGTGTGTATAAATAAAAAAATAAAAAAAATAAAAAAATAAATAAATATATTTATTTATTAATATTTTTATTTATTTATTTTTATTTATATTTATTTTTTTATTGCAAAGACAAAGACATGCTGTGGTGTACGTGTGGGGTGTGAGTTGACGTTGTCTTTGTCTTTATTACTTGGTGATATACTGCTAATGAATTAATAAATAAAAAAAATAAAAAAGAAAAAAAATAAAAAAAATAAATAAATAAATAAAACCCTAAATAAATATGTTTATTTAGTTATTTATTTTTTTATTTTTATTTTTTATTTTCTTTATTTTATTTTATTTTTTTATTTTATTTTTTTTTTAATGCAGAGACAAAGACATGCCGTGGTGTACGTGGTGGTCGTGAGTTGACGTTGTCTGTGTCTTCTTTGTTAGTGTGATATATAGTGTTAATAAATAAATAAATAAATAAAACAAAAACCTAACTAAATAAAAAACTAAATAAACACATTAATTAATTAATTTATTTATTTATTTATTTTTTATTGCAGAGACAAAGACATGCCGCGTGGTGCGTGGGGGCCGTGAGTTGACGTTGTCTGTGTCTTCTTTGTTAGTGGGAGATATAGTGTTAATAAATAAATAAATAAAAAAAATAAAAAAACTAACTAAATAAAAAACTAAAGAAACACATTTA